TCAGGGTTCAGGCTTTAGGGTCTAGGGTTTAGCTTTTGGGCTTTCTTTCGAGTTTTGAAGTTTGGAGGCTTTGAGGGGTATCATTGATGACGATCATACTCACAGCAGTCATGCAGAAAACGAAGACTGGGCGAGTGATTTCACGATCTGCCACGCAAGGTGCTGCGGCTCATGCGTGCTGTGAAGTCTCTTCGTGCGGTGCGGATGGTGCGCCACCAAGGAAAGGGAGCAGAACTAGACTCAACAGTTGTGCAGTTGTGGAAAGATATAGCCGTACGTGTGGCCAGCCTGGCCAGCCTTTCCGTCCTGCCCAGTCGGCATGTGCTGACAGCATCTGCTGCAATAGAGTCATCATAGCCTGTGCTGCACCGTCCGCTGTCATCGTTGCATCTGTAGTGTGACGGGACATGCATTCAAAGGCGCCGGTTTTCGAACAGGTTCTGGTCACAGTGGGGAGTGAAATGGAGCTTTTTTAGGATGGCAGAACTCACGATTCAGCAAGATCGAGAAGTGTCTGCATTTCGGCTTCTCTGTTGTAGATAGAGGCTTCAGTTTGCGCCGACTTCCATCGAAGTCAGTAAAACACGTAGATGCAGTGCAATAAGAGTTTGTGGTCGGCGGCAGGGATTTCGGATAAAGCAAACAGATGTGTGGTGTTCGCAACACATTGATTTTCCAGGGCTGTTGTGCACTTCGATCCGCATCAAAATCCCAAGTATCAGACAGAGAAGCACGCCCAAATCTAGTCACCTAATCCTAACCCAACCTGGTACATCTCAGCGGCTGAAGTTCAGAATGCTGGTTTTGGTTCAGGGATATGACGGGAGGACCAGGGGACATAGCATGTCCAGCTAGAAACAAACAGCTGTAGCAACATGATCCTCGTGAGGGGAAGTCCGGTGCTTCGTTTTATGTTCTACACGTTCTACGGTTGATGATAGAAATCCCGCATTACCCATAATAAGGAACATACTATAATTCCCATAGTTTAGGGTCCGTAAGGTAATGTAGGATTTCTGTCATCAACAGCAGTCTTTCAAGGGGTACAGGATCCTTCAAGCTCGGACTGAATTATGGGGTTCAGGCAGAACTGTCTCCGAAATGTTAACCTGACACAGTCGCCTTAAGCCTTAACCCTCACCCTCAAAGGACTCATATTTTAAGGCTTTTGGGCCCAAAGACCCTATTATGGAAGGCTTTTGGGCTATTCTGATGCTAAGGGCAAGAGTCTAAGAAGGCATCCGAAACCTCTGTGAGCATCCTCCGCCTCTAAACCGGCCTTAGGGCTGTCTGGACTTTGTTGGGTATGTAGAGACGGAAACGGCCTGGAGTTTACTGTTTAACACCAAAGGCCTCCGATCAGAAATGTCCGGCAAAGTTTGTTCCACGTCTCTTCGAACTCTCGTTTTTTCTTGAAGACAATGTCTGTACCATCATTCTTGCTTGGGGTTCCTTTTTTTCAACTATCGAGGAGCCCAAAACCTTATTCTAATTGTGAAGGCCCCTACATTATAGAACCCTGATGCCAACCTCTAAAGGACCCATGAAAGGAGCCCCTAAAAGGTTATTCTTCTTACTAAGGCCTCTGCATTATAGAACCCTTACAGTAGCCCTTATAGGAAGTCTTGAAGGAACCCGAAGAAGCAATCTACTTACCAAGGGCCTTGCATTCTTATGGTTAACAGGTTTGAGTCCATCAGAACTCAACCCAAACGCAATCTGTATATACATATAGATGTGGATGTGTATATATATGTATGTGCATATCTAGATCTATAACTAATCTTATATCTACAACAATGTCTATTTATGTATCTCTATATGTAACGACATCTGTATTGATACCTTGACTGTATCTGTATCTAGATCTATACTTGTATCTGTATCCGTATCTGCATTTATACCATTTATACCATTTATACCTATACCTATACCTATTCCTACACATGCATCATGTGCATATATGATATGACATGACCTAGTATGATATGGTATGACATGATCTGACTTATTGTGATGTGAGATGATATGTATACAGACCCTTGCACTCTGGAAGGTACGAAGCTTGCGCTTCTTTCAAGGAACCCTAAACCCTAAACCCTAAACCCTAAACCACTCTGGAAGGTACGAAGCTTGCGCTTCTTTCAGGGGTTGCGCGTGCTGGTCAAGGCTTGCCAGTGCTTTCTACCATCGCTCTGTTGGTCGATGGCAGCCGGGCCAAATTGAAGTTCGAGGGTCAGGTATCGGTTTAGGGTTTAGGGTTTAGGGTTTAGGGTAAATTGAAGTTCGAGGGTCAGGTGTATCTGACTGAAATTTCTTGGCAGATCGGAAAGTGTTAGGAATGCATGCCTGTATGGTCCAGAGTAAAAGGTTCAGAAGTCAGGTTATCGTGTCGACATGGATGCCTGGTTTGAGTGATCTTCATTCCAAGTTGAAGAGCTCGAGTGGGCATGCTTGTGAACCTTCAGAGCCTTCCCTTTGATACATAGCCATAAGGGTCCATGTGCCCATACAGTATATACTTCGGCTTTAAAGTTGTCCCTATATAGATACTTTGGGGCCAAAGTATGCGCGATTTGTGTACATTTGGGTACCTGAACCCTAACCCTTGTGGTACCCTGAAAGAACCCTTAAAGGACCTCTTAAAGGAACCCTCCTGGCACATGCACCCTAGAGCCAGCTGTGCTGGTCGAGTAATCTATTACTTACCCTAAGGGTCCAAGTACTATAAAAATCATATACTCTCCCAAATATTAACCTAGACAACTACTATCCGCAACCAAAGTACCTGATTATTGGGTCCTTTGGACCTTTAGGGTTATAGGTGGGTAGTCTTCTAAGTTAGGAGCCCTAAACGATAAACCCTACACTGGGGTCCTCTTGTGGACCCACAAGCAGGCGGCACCCGCATAAAAAAAGGATCCTAAAATCAAACCCTACATAAGAGAACTACCCAATTCTCTTTTTTTCGGATGCCCGATTAGGTTTGATTCTTTAACGTCTTGTTGCACTGCGCAACACTCAGGTTTGGCGTGGGAACTCTTGCTTTGCGAGTAAGCCTGCCGCGACAACTTAAATACACCAAATTTCATGCCGAAACCCTAAACCCTAAACACCTAAACCTAGACCCTAAACCCTAAAGCCTTAAACCTAAACCCTAAACCCCTAAACCAAACCCCTAAACCCGTAAACCCCTAGACCCCTAAACCCTGAACCCTAAACCCCTAAACCCTAACCCCTAAACCGTGGGCTGGGAAAACCTCAGGTCCTCTTGCTGGTCTTCATGTCCATGGGAGCCCTGATGATGGGGAACCTTTGTCATAGTTGGGTAACATTTTACATTTTTAAAGGTACTTAAACCCAATAAGGAATATACATTTAAATTTTTTATACTACCTCAACCATGAACTAGGAACCTCCTGCAAGACTTCGTGGTCAGTGAAGAGATGGATTTCGAAGACCGAAAGTGGATCTTTATGCGTTACGGACCCTTCGGCCGCAACTCAGGCGAACTCGTCGCTTCAGTTGGACCCACAGTATGTTTATCTGACCTGGATTGGGCCAAGGAACCGCATATCGAGCTATGTACACCCTTTTCGAAATCACTTTCGTCCATGGCTCAGTTCCTGCAGCGAACATTCCAAGAAGGTGTTTGCGCTGTGCCTCGCCCCGCCGCAAAATCCCAACCGTCTATGCCTCAAAGATCGCTGATGACTGCAGTTCCTACCACCATGATTAGATGCTGAAACCTAACTTGTAAAGCCTAAACCTCCACTGGAGGGTTTAGGGTTTAGGGTTGAGTGTGCACCCTCGTCCTGGTCCTCATCTGGCCTTCTCATGAGCTTCCCTTATGGTTCTTACTGTAAATTCCCGTTATGGCTCTTACTGTCAAATTTCCCTTTATGGCTCTTACTTTAAAATTCCCTTTATGGCTGTTACTTTAGAATTCCATTTATGGCTCTTACTTTAAAATTCACTTTATGGCTCTTACTTTGGAATTCCCGTTATGGCTCTTACTTTGAATTCCTTTTATGGCTCTCACTTTAAAATTGCATGTATGGCTCTCACTTTAAACTTCCCTTTATGGCTCTTACTTTGGAATTCCTGTTATGGCTCTTACTGTAAAATTCCCTTTTTGGCTCTTACTTTACAAGTCCCCATATGGCTCTTACTTTACAAGTCCCTTTATGGCTCTTATCAATACTTCTCAGGGCCCCAAAACTAGAGCCCAGAGCACAGCAATCCCGCAAAGACAAGATGCAGGGGAAGCAGAGCCAGCCGACCATCGCAGTTGCTGTAGTCCCAAAGGGTACTGGGTACTGTTATGGGGGATAGTCTCCCCAAGTCATAAAAGGGATTTCGGAATCCCTATTTAATAGGGATTCTGAAAATATAAACCTTAAATTTCAGGGTTAATATAGGGGCCTAAATCATTAACTATACTATTTTGGGGGTTCCTTATTAGAAATTTAGCATAAGGGGCCCCAAAGCCCTAATTGTAATTCTTAAGGCCTTTATGTTCGTTGTTCCGTAGTGAAAGGAGATCCCAGGCTGTGATGAAACGTAAAGTGACTACCGTTGGATGAGTAATTCGGTTGTTGTTATAAATCCTGCATTACCTTAAGGACCCTGAACTATGGGAATTATGGTAAGTTCCTTACTCAGCGTAATGCAGGATTTATATCATCAACCGTATCCACAGTATCCGTGTTTCCGGTGAACTTTGCTGACCATACGCATCGCAACGACATGCCAACAAGGGCTGTAACAGAAACACAATCATCCTGATCACCAGAATTCTCCATGACCCCAAGAAGATTCACAGGCGCGTGGTGCATCAAGATGTCAATTTTGTCCCTAAACCCTAAACCCTAAACCCTAAACCAGTCACTGGTGATGTTGCGCTGCCGTGGTTGCAGTACTCGTTCTGATCGCTTGAGGCCGGCAATTGGCCCACGAGCGCAAGGCCTGTGTTGGAGAAGGTTAGCCAAGCCTATGTCTTGTTCTTCGTGCCCTATATAACTTTGGCGGCTAGGTGTTTCAGTGGTATAGTCGTTTTAGTTTTGTGTTTCTGGGCTCTTATTAGAACACATCCAAGTATATACTTCTTCCAATCGGCTCACTGCACAGCCTAGGTGGTCTTCGCTGTTATTCGAGTGATCTCTGCGGTGCCTCTGCTGCAAGCAGCTAAATCGTTAAACCCTAAACCCTAAGGCCCTAAACCCCCCAAACCCTAAACCCTAATCCCTAAACCCAAACAGCGCCAGCTAACCACGCTGGGCTCCAAGCCTGACAAACATGGCTGCGATCCGTCCTCAACCACCCCACGGAGCACCAGAAACCCACAATTCCTGCTCCTGCTCTTGACAAATGCAGGCTACAGACCTATATAAGCCCTAAACCATAAACCCCTAAACCCTAAACCACCTTGCACCCCTGAAGCCGCTGAACCTAAAGACTTCATGCTGCATAATCCCCTGAAGCCGTTGAAACGCCGAAGCCCTAGGTGGATAGTTCTCCAAATGAGGGCCCCCTTTGAGGTTCCCAAAATTGTACCCCAAATCGGGATCATGAATTGCTAAGGGTCCATTTATGCAAACAGTCTATACTTTGTCCTTGACGTAATCCCTTTAATAGGTACTTCAGGGCCAAGGTATATACTATGCTTGAGTACATGCACCCTTAGACCCTAAACCCTTATGGTACGCGTATAGAGCACTTGAAGGATTCCTTCGAGGAACCCTTAAGGCAAATGCACCCTTATAGTGAAGTCAGAGAACGGGTTTAGGGTTTAGAGTTTAGGGTTTAGGGTCTAGGGAACTACACCCCAAACCCTCACCCCCTACCCCAGGTGTTCTTGAAAGACACGCTGGACGCGGCGCAAAACGATGCGGAACAACTTGTGGTTGATCGACTTCGTGCCTTGGCTATGAATTTGTTGATGTAAACGGCGATAATACGAATAACAACAGTAATTATGATCATAGCAACAGTATTAGTAGGACACTTTTTTGTAATCTGTATATTGTACTGACAGTAATACTAACATAATAATATTATTAGCACTAACTATATTGGCAACAATATAATGCGATGATTATAAAATAATCAATATAATTCTAACAAGGAAAGCCGAAGTGTTCAGAACAGGGTTTAGGGTTTAGGGTTTAGGGTTTAGGGTTTGGGTATGCTATATTAGGGTTGTAAGAGGGCCTACAGGGGGAGACTACGATCGTAATGATTTTGCTTTGTTGGTGGCTTTGGGTTTCCTATCCCTCCAAACTTTGTCGGGTTTCCGGGGGATCTGTCGGGTTTAGGGTCTAGGACTTAGGATTTAGAGTGCAGGGTTTAGCATTTAGGCTTTGGGGCTTTGAGTGTCAGGTTAAGGGCTGTAGTAGTGACTTGGGGTTATAAGAAGGTTTCGGGCTTTAGCATCCATTGTGTTTTGTGTTAGCTCCCAACTTCGAAGGACATGGTAACCTAGCTTATGGACACGTAAGCTGTCTCAGGTTGTCGTGCAGCGGTCTCTCTATGCCGCATTACCTCCACAAGTCTGCGAAAACCAAACCCTGAGGGTCCATGTACCCAAATAGTATATACATTGGCCCCAAAGTACTTCTATAGGGACTACTTTAAGGCCAAAGTATATCTATTTGGGTACATGGACCCCTAAGGAAATTTATCTCTGAACATGGCCGTGAGGTCTAAATCCGTAGGGCCATAAGCCCCGCGTTGTGCCGACAACAATCTCCCATAACTTAATCATAGGCTGCTTTATAGTTCCCTTTTGTGGTTTATATTTAGCCCTAAACCCTAAACCCTGAAACCTAAACCTATATCTAGGATCCTATAAGTCCCGAAATAGGAACTGCTATGGAGCCGATGGGTACAGCAAGTCTGAAGCCTCTCTCTGACATGGCTGGAGTGGCCCTTGCCAAGTCCTCAATACAAATAATATGGGGGCCTTAATAATTGGAATCGGGTTTTGAGGGGAGATCCTTTAAAGGGTTCCTTGAAGGGTTCTATAAGGGCTACTAGAAGGGCTTAGGGTGTAGGGGCCTTAATTTATTAGAATAGGGTTTGGGGGTATAGTATACTATACTTACAAGAAGGAACCCCAAAACCCTATTCTAATTATTAAGGCCCCTACAGTACCTGTTGTCGAGATACAACCTTCCAGCCTGTTTGTTATGAAGCTATGTGCCGTGATGTTCGCAAGTATTTGAGAACTCGTAAACCCTAAACCCTAAACCCTAAACCCTAAACCTAAACCCTATACCCTAAACTACCCTAAACCCTAACTCCCGGCAAGCCTCAGGCAAGAAGGCTCAGTACGTGGCCAAGCTTGAGAGTATATTCCTGGCCATCGACGACTCCGGGGACGGAATCATCTCGGAGGAGTGGGGTTTAGGGTTTAGGGTTTAGGGTTTAGGGTTTAGGGGCCGTTTCCTAGGACACACCCAAGCCAAACCCTAAACTCCAAACCCTAAATTATCCCCAGGCCTCAAGCACAAGAATTGGCAGTTCTTGCGGTTCTTGCGACTTTCTTCCCGCTAGCCTTTCCAAAGCCCGAGACCTTAAATCCTAAACCCTCCATCGCCCCAGGCTTAAAGCCTATGCCTGCGTGGTCTGAGTGGTTTCTGTATGCAGCCTGCTTTCTCTTCCGACTCAGCTGCCAGGTTTACAAGAATCTGAGGGGCTGAGTGGGTAACCTTCAACTTTTTGGGGGCACATGTACTCCTACTCGGATTAGAAGGGCTAACCTTTCTTGGGCCCTAAACCCAAAACCCTAAAATCCTAAACCCAAAACCTGCCCCTTAAGAAATCATAAGTCCCGAGCCCCCGGCCCCAGCCCAGAAGCCACCTGTATAACCTGACACCAGAATCCTCTAAACCCTACTACTATGGAGCCCCGTTATAGTTCCTTTTTGTGGTTTATATTTAGGATCCTATAAGGTAATCCCAAGAAGGATCCACTTACTATGGAGCCTATCGGGAGCAGTGGGAGCTTTTGCCTTCATGTGTTGCGAGCTTCTGTGTCTGTGAGGCGTTAATCTTAGGAGTCTAGTCTTTACGGCTTAGGGTGGTTCCCCAAGGGTCCAAGGGACCCAATCATCAGGTACTTTGGTTGTGGATGGTAGTTATCCAGTTTAAGATTTGGGAGGGTATATGATATTAGGTACTTGGGCCCTAAAGAACCTACCTTTTTTGAGGACTTGTAGAATGAAACCATAATCAGGAACTCGAAAACGGTAGGGTCTGTAAATCCTATAAACCCCAAATCCTCGAAACCCTACAGACTAAACCCTATTTACCCTGAATCCCATCTACCTTACACCCGACAGTAAAAGCCAGAAAGCTGGAACAGGATTATCCTCATGCCCTTAAGGTGAAGCATAAGGGATCCTAGCACTATTCCTGCCAGACCCATGTTCCAACTTTCTGGGGTTCACGCTAAACCCTAAACCCTAAAAGCCCAATAAACCCTATAAGCCCTAAGCCCTATCAACCCCAGGCCATAAACCCTAAAAGCCCTAAAGACCCTATAAGCCCTAAACCCTAGAAGCCCTAAAGAAACTATAAGCCCTAAACCCTATAAACCCTGAAAGCCCTAAACCCTAAACCCTATAAGCCCTAAACCCTAAATACCTCTCTGGGAGATGCTACAGCACCTGCATGGGCCGTCCAGGAGAGGCTCAACGACATCCTCCAGAATCCGAAGGCCTGGAACTTCCCAAACCCTAAACCCTAAGCCCTAAACCCTAAACCCTAAACCCTAAACCCTAAACCCTAAACTCTAAACCCTAAACCCTAAACCCATATCCCTAAGCCCTAAACCCAAGCGGCTCAGGGCTTGGGGACCTAGGGGTTTCGGGTTTAGGGTTTTGGGAGTTTAGGTTTCGGGTTGAAGGGTTTGGGGTTTAGGGCCTTCGAAGGCCTGGACCCAGAGAACCCAAAACCCCTTAATTAAGGTTTAGGGTTTAGGGTTTAGGGTTTAGGGTTTTAATTAAGGAATCTATGCCTTAAAGGGTTCCTTTTTAGGGATCTATAAGGGTCTCTTCAAGGGTCTCTATAAGGGTAATATACCTGAAATTATAGGGGCCTTCATATTATGATTTAAGGTATATTCCTTCATTGCGGGGTATCGGATTCACTGGGGAACTCCGCAAGTGGCTTGGGGATCTGGGGGGTTTCGGGTTTAAAATTAGGGTCTTAGGGGTTTAGGTTTAGGGGGTGGGGATCTAGGGGTTTAGGGTTTAGGGATCCAGGGGTTTCGGGTTTAGGGTTTTGGGAGTTTAGGTTTCGGTTTTAGGGGTTTTAGGGGCTTCGGGTTTAGGGATATCGGGGGTTTAGGTTCAGGGTTTCAGGTTTTCGGGCTTAGGGTTTAGGGAGGATATCGGGGTTCGGGGTTGAAGTTTACCCTAAACCCTAAACCCTAAACCCTAATTAAGTTTAGGGTTTATGGGTTTAGTTTACGGGTACAGGATTCAGGGGTTTAGGATGCAGAGCTTTGGAGTTCAGGGGTTTGGGGTTTAGGGTTTAGGGTTTAGGGTTAAGGGTTTAGGGTTCAGGGTTTGGGGTGTAGGATTTAGGTTCACGGGTTTTCCTGCGAGCTCAGAACCCTGTTCTACTCACAGAGGCACCCTTTTCGTTGGGGGAGTCCTAGAGCAGGTTGAGTTTAGGGTTTAGGCTTGATATATAAGGTTTAGGGATCAGTGTTTTAGGCTTGATATGTAGGGTTTAGGGATCAGTGTTTCGGGGTTAGAGTTTAGGGGATAGGGTCTAGATCATGCTACCCCTGGGGTTCAAACTGGGACCAGACATTATGTATGGTACGGTCTTTGGGCCGTAACGCATGAGTTTTTGGGTCCTCAGAGCCGTAGGGTGGGTATTTTAAAATACATGAGTCTACTACAGCTCCCGGAAAATCTGGCAAAGGTATGCCCATGCAGTCTATCTAAGATTATGCTATAGTGGCCGCCCGAACCTTCTTCTGTATTTGTAGTGACCATATGGCACATGTTTTGTTTATATACCCGACCATAGCCCCAAATAGCTTAGTCTTTAAAGGCTCATATACGGAAATCATAAGAAGGAACCCTAAAAAGGTGTCTTTTGTAGGATTCCACCTGTAGGCCCTAAACCCCTAGAGCTCCAAACCTCTAAACCCCGAAGCCCGATAAATCCTATCCGGTCCTACTTAAAGGATCATGGGACTTAGTAACTAGGGTTATAAACAAGGTACCTATACTTATAATTAGTTATAACCGATATAACCCCAATTAAGGTGCTTATAGCCCTACTTACTAAGTCCCGTGATCCTCTAAGTATCCAAAAACCCCAAAACCCCCAAACTCCACCGATCCTATCCAAGTCCCTCGACCCCGAGAGTGCCTCAAAACCCTAAAGGCCCTAAACCCTAAACCCTAAACCCTAAAGGCCCTAAACCCTAAACCCTAAGTGCAGGTCGCGGCGTACCTAGAAACTCTTGAGCTGGATCTGCACGCGGCCGGAATGCAGTTGAGCTCGGTTTTCTGAGGAGGCAGGGTTTGAGGTTTAGGGCTTTGGGTTTAGGGGTTAGGGGTTTAGGGTTTAGGGTTTAGGGTTTAGGGTTTAGGTTTAGGGCAAGTTTAAGGTTCAGTGGCTTCGGGGGTTTAGGGTTTAGGGAGGCTGGCGTGTTCTAAACTCAAACCCCGAAGTCTTTCTAGAAGCCAACACTTCTGAACCCAACTTCCTGCTCCCAGGCCCCTGTGTAGGTTTGACACCCTTTCGGGGCATCTCAGACTGAAGCTGTAAGTATCAATCTGTTACTACACTGGTGTTATGCTACATGGGATCCTCTCTTTCATGCGGCTTTGCACAGGCTTGTCTGCGCGTTGCCCTGCAGTTCTCATGCGAAAACTTCCCCGCCAGTACCCGCCCGTCGGATAACAGGGCGCAAGAAGAGGACGGGTTAATACAGGGGCCTTAATAATTGCCTATACTGCTTTGGGGGTTCCTTATTATAATCGGAGTATAATGGGCTCAAAACCCTATTCTAAGTGTTTAGGCCCATGCATTAGAGGAGGACAAAAGCAGAACACAGAACAAGAGGATAGCTCAAAGGACAAATAGCAGGACTAGCATGTCTTCACCGCACCGCTTTTGCAATAATTCCCGGATCAGTTCGAAAAAATACATCTTTGCACATTAAAACGATTGGCCCATCAAGTCAACTTTTAAAGCCGCATTGTGCTATCTCCCTTAATGACCCTCGTGCCAGGAAGCCCAATACATCCCCTCTGCATCAGCGGCTTGCGATTAGGGGAGCGGCACTATTGCCGAATCAAAGCACCATAGCAGCATAGCACAAACTACATATGCATGTTGCACTCGACTGCAAGAGCTTTGACGATCACCTGAAGCGACTTTGGAAGCTTGCACAACTTAAAGAGAGGGTTGATGTGCAGGATTGAAAGCTTCGAAGCAGAACCCACCAACGCAGCAGGATCAAGATTGATAGCGATTACAGATCACTTTCAGTTAGGGTTATGTCATATTGTAGTACACACTTTGGGGTAGTTAAAAAATAAGCAAATTCAGGAACTTCGGAAGTCCGTATTTGCAACTGTTCAGGCTTGTATAGTATATGTGACATGTTCCATGTTAACCACTCATTCTATGTCCGACGCAAGCCATCTCAGACCGACGGAAGCGCTCACAAACTCGCTGAATCCACTGGGTCATGGTTTCGGATGCGTAAATTTGGTACCATGGTCTTTTCAGTTGTAGTGTATTTTGTTGGTAATCAATGAGGAGCCGGGTTTTGCGTTATCGAGCGACAGATCGCGTTGTTCGTTTTGGATTCAGAGCTCCGTGTTGGAGTATACTGGTTTTAGGTTTTGATTTATTTATGCTTAGATCTGTAGCGTGGGAGTCGGCAAGCTGTGCTGAGGAAGGTGTCGCGCTCTTCCACTTGCTCGACAATGGAGACGGGGAGGCACGCATCGGTAAAGCCTAGGGTTCCACATGTAAGTCTACAGTTTACCTTTGTTGGGCTATTTGGAGCCTCCGGGAAGTAAGTCTGTGACAGGGTCTTGTTGTCGTGCTGTCAAGGTAGCAAAGCGACTATGCCATGTCTGTTTCATCTTCAATAGTTTGATCGTATTCATCGCCGGTTTGCAACATCTTTGACATATGAGTTGAGTGTGGCAATTTCCACTTTTCATGCAAAGCACTGGAAGAGAACTTCGCTGTCTGTTGAAGAATTCTTGTGTTTGGTATCATACAAATCATGCCGTGTGGGTGGCCATCACGCACGTACAGGTCAGGTGTTGTGCAGAGCTGTGGGTCACGCTTTGGGTCGTTACGAAGTACCTTTTCGTACCCCTGGTGGGGAATTTCGTGGGAGAGGGTTTGCCCCACCGTGTGGCCAGAGCATTGACTCACTGATAACACTAGCCACACTGTGACATCAACATGACATGGCAACATGGTTGCTCAACGGTGCTGGCAAATAGCACAAAGTGGATTTGTGGGGTATAGCTACTTGTTTTGTATGCTGCTACTGTTACTACTGCTATCGTACCCGCTACAATTAGTCTCCCATCTCTTGTTCCCCAGTACTACCTCGTAGCTCTACTGTAGTGATTCTTGGGATAACCTGCTGTATATTGCTAGATAACCCCCCTAAACCCTAAACCCTAAACCCCAAACCAATAATGCCCCATCATAGAGTTTAAATCGTGCCTGCGTCGTCCATGAGGACAGGGTCTGGGAATTTCTATCAATATAGTTTGAATAAATAGCACCATTATTCCGTAAGGTTCCTGATATTTCCTGACGATTTTGAGGGTTTAGGGTATACGGCTCGATGTTGTGTGAATTTGTTTGCGCACATGGGTGGGGCCGCTAGAGCCACTGGATTGGAATTCATTCATGTTTCATGAAAATGTTATCTTCAAGGCGTCAGGGTTTAGGGTTTAAGGGTGGAGGATTTCATGCAGGTTGCCGCGATGGTTGGGTTTCAGCCTCCCTGCTTGTGTGCTTAATGGTTTGTCTGCTACTAAACCATGCTGATAAATCTTGAAACCAGTTTGCTTTTGTAATCCCTAAACCCTAAACCCTAAACCCTACTCACCGAACCCTAAAAAGCCTCAAGCCCGAGGTCACTCTCGACGAATTCATTGACGGAATTATGCGGTGCAAGGGGCCCGCAAGAGCGATCGACCAAGTGGCCATGCATGCGGATATCAAGCGACCTGCCTCATTCCGTTTGAAAGCTTGGTCCTTAGTGCTAACCTAGGTAACCCTAAACCTTAAACCCTAAAACCCTAAAGCCCTAAAACCCTAAAGCCCTAGAGCCCTAAAGCCCTAAAGCCCCAAACCCTAAACCCTAAACCCTAAACCCTGCCTGTCGCTCAGGTCTTTGGACCAGAAAGTTGCAAAGCTCGCGCGAAAGCTCCGGGAGAAGGAGGCTCCAGGGCTTGGGGTTTCAGGGCTTTGGGTTTATGGTTTAGGGTTTAGGGGTTTAGGGTTTAGGGTTTAGGGTTTAGGGTTTAGGGTTTAGGGTTTATGTTTTGGGGTTTAGGGTTTATGTTTTGGGGTTTAGGGTTGAGGGTTTATGGTTTGGGGTTTAGGGTTTGCTGCTTGAGGTTGAGGGCTCATTTTAGGTCGGGATTTTGGGTTTAGGTCTCGGGATTTCGGGATGTTGGGGTAATGCAGACTCCTGTTGCATCTGTGAGGGCTCTATCATTGTGATCCGGCAGTAGGCGCTTGCTGGGGCTTGGGAAGTAAGGTCACGGGAATTTACTTAGGGGCTAAGTACGTAACCTTTAACCTTTTGGGGCTTATCTAACCCTACTATAATTTAACCCTAAACCCTAAACCCTAAACCCTAAACCCTAAACCTTAAACAAACCCTAAACCCTAAACCGCTTAATTCCCTGGCAGCCCCCCTTTTGAGAAACCCCACAACTATAATTCAAAAGGTCAACCTTTCTTGGGCCGGGGCACTCAGCCCCTGAGTGCAGGATCTTCTTACAGAGGGAGCATTGGAGTCGAGGGACTCAGGAAGCCTGCAAAGCAAAGACCGACGTTCTATCCAGTATTGTTAATAGTGATAATTAGTAGTCGTAGTAGTATATAGTAGTAGTAGTAGTAGTAGTAGTAGTAGTAGTGGTGGTGGTAGTACGTGGCAGCAGCTGTAGCAATAGGATGTAGTAGCCGCGCAAGTCCAAAAGCAGGCGAGCCAGTGATGATGCTCCTACTGGTGCACGGAATCCTCCATCTTCCATAATCTTGCCTACGCCATAATTCTCACAGTTTGTGCTTCGGTCCTTACGGCTCTCAAGGAATTGGATTTTCAGGCTTTCGTGCCTCAAGTCCTAAAGACCATAATTCCTAATTAGTAAGGCTTCTGGCCTTTTCGTTACCCTGCAGGCTACAGCACCCTTGTACTGAGATCCGAAACCCTAGCCCCCTTAGCCTCAGCCCTCCCCCAGAAAGCCCAAGACCCTCCTCGGAGCCTTAGGGCAAGGACGACATGAACGGCAAAAGGATTTAAGGTTCATACCATGTAGGGATGCATGCTATACCCTAACCCTAAAACGGTTTAAGGTTCATATACCATCTAGGGGTTCATGCGGCGCAAGGGTGTATACAGGGCCCCTACTTTTAAGGTTCATTTGGGAGTTTCCAAAAATAGGGGACCTAATATAGTACCCTAAATAATAGACTCCTTATTATAAGGACCTAAAATACGGTACCCTAATTTTCTTAAAGTCCCATTTGGCCCCTGAACAAGGAACTTCCACGACAGCACACCCCACACCCGAGAGGTGATCCGAACTGCGCCTAGCCGACTGAGGACTGCTTCACCGTTTGATCTAAAAACAGGCTTTAGGGTTTTACTGTAGTTAGGTTTAGGGTTTAAGGTAGTGGGGCTTCGGGTATACTGTAGTGCTTGGGGTGCAGAGTTCAGTAGACTGTGTAGGGTTCAAAAGACTTTGGGTTGCGGAGATGTGCCCCTTCGGAGTGGTGGGCTCCGCGGCCTGCGCTCGGGGCCCCTGCGGGTGACGTGCCACTAAGCTGTGAAGCCCGGGGAGACTCCATTCCACGACCATTACACCTATCTCCTACCCCAAGGCTCCATGCAGCCCTAAACCCTAAACCCTAAACCCTTTTTACTTAGGCCGCAAAGTACACTTTTTGGAAGCCCTTTGAGGCCAAAGTATTTTCTATATGGGTACATGGAGGCTTTGGGAAACAACCTACCTTCCCTAAGGGTCCAAGTACCCAAATAGTAGGGTTTTAAGGTCCAAAAACCATTCAGAGTATGGATTTTGGGACCTAAAACCTTACTATTTGGGAACTCGGACCCTCTGGGCTAAGACCTTGGTTTAGACGTGCAGATCGGAAGCATTGTAAGAAACCCTAGTCCTAAGCGGTAGGGCGGATAGGGTAAGCCATGATTAATTAACCCCGACTTCCCGAAGCTTGAAAGAGAAGCCCTATGCCCGACAAGCTATAACAGCTTAGCAACTTACACCCTAAACCCTAAACCCTTGACTCTGAGCCCTTAATCATGCCCTAAACCCTAAACCCTTTATGTCGTGCGCATGCAGACAGCAGCCCGTGGAGATCTCCACTTGATCCACCTTTTTTCTTTCGGGCTACTGCTGATCGGGTTTACAGTTTAGGGTTTGGGGTTTAGGGACTTAAGGGGGTTAGGCTTTAGGGGTTTAGGGCTTTAGGGCTTTAGGGTTTAGGGTTTAGGGGTTTAGTGGTTTAGGGGTTTAGGCTTTGGGGTTTAGGGACGACCTGAAAAGTACGTAAACCAACATCAGGAATGTAAAGCGAGCAGGGGCATTACATCACGAGATAGATCTTGCTAGGGTCTTACTTGCCCCAGGGGCCTCCTGAGTACTTATAGAGTAGAATGTAGGGTTTCTTGATCAGGAATCACTACGGCTGATGATCTTATATATTCTGCATTACCCAAAATGAGGAGTATACCATAGTTCCCGTAGTTTAGGGTCCTTAAGGTGGAATATACCTTAATTCCCGTAGTTTAGGGTCCTTAAGGTCATGCCGGGTTTATATCATCAACCATATTCTGATTTGGGAAAGATCCCCCCCCCCCCCCGTAACCGTAACGGTACCGAGGACCCTTTGGGTCCCGGATGGATCTCAACCATGGACACTTTAGGGTTCGGGGCTTTAGGGTTTAGGGTTCAGGGGTTTAGGGTTTAGGGTCTACGGTGTTTAAGGGTTTAGGGCTTTAGGGTTCAGGGCTTTGGGGCTTTAGGGTATTTAGGAGCTTAGGCGAAAGGGTTTAGGGCTTTAGGGTTTAGGGTTTTGGGTCCTTCAATGATCTGTATGGGGCTTTCCCACTTAGGATTCCGGAATTCGGCGCTCCACGCTTCAATCCTCCTTGGTCGGAATACATCTCCGCGGGGGGTTTAGGATAAACCTCCAACTCCTAAACCCGTACCCTACATCCTAAACCCTAAACCCCCAAAAACAAAAAACCGTACATAAAACTTGAACCCTAAACCCTAAACCCTAAACCCTAAACCAAGCCCAAACCCTAAATCCTGAACCCTAAACCAAGCCTAAACCCTAAGCTTGGGAGCCTTCGGTGGCGCATAACAGTGCCGGCGCCAGCGGTCTAGGGATCTCGCTATGTTCCCCAAAGCGTCCGAAGTGCTGCTATCGTATCACTCCGTCATGGGACGAACTGTGTGCTTTTCCAGCAGATCAGATTTGAATTCAGATTAATTCGGAAGTTCGGCTACACGCCCTTGAACAAGATTCCAAAGGCTCGTGAGGCCAATGGAGAGTGTGGGTAAAAAGTAGAAAGTGGGGTTTCTAGAATAGGAATTGAAATTATGGTTTTGGGTCCGCAATATAGGAATGTTATAGTAGAAATTTGGGTTTCTACAATAGGAATTGAAAGTATGGTTTTGTGTCTGCAATATAGGAATTGTTTAGTAGGAGTGGGGTTTCTATAATACAGGAATTGACATTATGGTTTTGGGTCTGCAAATTTTGAGTTTTATTGGGTGTGCACACGCTAGGCATCACACTGCTCAGTGTCACAGGAAGCAACGGACAAAAGCGGAGCACCTGAAGGTCTTCAGACGCTTGGCTGGTTAACCTGGGTGTGGATCGCATCAGGCTTGGGAATTGCATCATGTTGAAAGCTGGCGACATATGGATGGTGCGGGCATTAGGGTTGGGATTTTTGAGGGGAGTTCAGCGATAGGGAGTCGAGCTTGGAGGCTTCAGGAGGTGCCTTAGATGACATGACCGCTAAGTAGGGCGGGGAGTGGCAAACCCGACACGCCCACACGGAGCTAGAGATTCACCAGTAGCCAGTGCCCGGGACACAAGTGGCCTGAGAAAGGTCACAGAGAAAGCCACACAGCAACGGTAATCAGTGCAGTGCGAAGCACGTTGTCAAGGTTCTTTTGGCACGTGCCAAAAAAACAGTCCCTCTCCTGGTGTCCTCTGTGCTCGATGATGATTGGCCCAAGCCGCTAGGAGTACTCAGTCCCAACTAGGGCAACCATAGGTTTCAAGACCCACAAAACCCACCGCCCCATACACCAAACTTCAAACCCCACACCCGAAAAGCTAAACCCTAAACCCTAAAGCCTAAACCCCAAACCCTGCACCCTAAACCCCAAACCCCAAACCCCAAACCCCAAGCCCCAAACCCTAAACCCTAAACCCCAAACCCCAAACCCTGCCTAAAACCTAAAGCCGAAGTCCCGCCTTGAAATCTCCTCGCCGGAGGAACCGACGCCTCTATGGAGCTGGTCGGTGCACGCATGATGTCCAAATGAGAGAAGTTTAGGGTTTAGGGTTTAGGATTTAGGGTTTAGGGTTTAATTCAGAGATTAAAATAGGGGGCTAAATAACTGCCTACGCTATCGGTGGGGTGGAGTGGCACTGGCTTGCGTTGGAGTGTGATATTTAGAATTTAGAAGCCATTGCAGGAGTGTTTCTTCTTTTTTTGTGTTGAACACCAATCACGTAGGTGTTTGTTTATTGTTGGTTTGTGTCCGTCCATCCGTGTGTGGGTAGGTTGGTGGGTGGGCCCTGGGTGGTGGGTGGGATGGGTGGGGTGGGTGCGGGTGGGTGAGGTGGGGGTGGGGATGGGGTGGGGATGGGGTGGGGGGGCGGTGAGGTGGGTTGGGTTGGGGTTGGGGGTGGGGTGGGTGGGTGGGGTGGACATGGCTGCAGGCTGCTGCAAGTGTGCATTTATGTGTTGTGAATACCCGTGTTTCATTTGTGCGAATTAAGTCGGCAGTTATAGCTTCTATACATATATATATATATATTACAGATAGTTATAGCATGAGTCCCGGGGTTGGCTTGCTCGTTAGTTATGGAAGAGTGCGCATCTTCGTGTATAGCACCACCGAGTGCTGACCCTCTATAGTTCTGACACCCGAAACCCTAAAACGGCATTGGGGAGGCTGCAAGACCGTTTAGGGTTTAGGGGTCTAGGGGTTCAGGGCTTAGGGTTTAGGGTGGGGTCTTCAGTAAGACTCTTGCTGCCCTGGTCCCCCCACGTGTTGCAGGCAATTGGCTGCAGATGCCGCAGTGCATTTGTTGTGGGATGTGTCTTCAATTGCCTCCTTCGGGGTCTTCAGACTTTTTGGTCTGGGCTACGACGAGAAGTTTCTACAAGTCGCCAGACGCCACTTCACTCCAAGTGCTGCTGTCTCTCGAGGGATGCATCCGGACGGTGTAGCCTACCTTGCACTCCCTAAGCCCTAACCCAGCGAGACCAAGAGACCTGCTTGTTCTATAGAAGCATGAACTATTGGCAATACTACTCCTCACAGCTCCGTTCATCATTCTGGTAGAATCTAGCCCAAATCCCTACTCTAACTACTCAGGCCCCTATCCTAGTGAGAATAAAAGACCTTGCTTGCATACTGTCGTATGAAGGCCCGGAAGCCCTGAGATTTGTGTCCTTGGACCCTCCAGGTACTGAGACTGCTGAAACAAGTTATGCTTACAAAGGTTTTCCATGGCCCTCACAGGACTCATATCTTAATTAAGGCTTTTGGGCCCAAAGACCCTATTGTGAAAGGCTTTTGGGCTATTTTGACTCCAAGGGTTTCTGAAGCGACAAGCAAGTCTTCGGCCAGGGGACGGCTCCAACGTAGCCGGCCGAATGCATTGCTTTACCCTGAGGTTGACAGCATGTTCCAAAAGTTTTGTGAGGTTCCGACTTGTTCGAGCCTTTCCAGTCGGGCCTGCGAGCGAATAGCTGGGGTCAGGACATCGCGATTACAGTCTGCACCGTCTTTTCCAGGAGGACCTGTGTCCTGGTGTGGACTGCACAGCGGAGACATCCGGCCCGGGCATCACGGCTCTGCTAGCGCCAGAACTTCTGTAGCCGCAGGACTCGCTATCTTGCCCCAGAAGTAACCATCATGCAGCCTAAATCCTAGACCCTAAACCCTAAACCCCAAACCCGAAACCCTTAACATGCAAGTTGTAAAGGACAAGCGGTGGCAATATGACGGAAGCAGAAGGTCGTAGATTAAAAATCAAGCAGAGGGATGACAGCAGCTTTTATCTACTCTTGGAATCTTCAACGCGCATTCGCTGCAGCTCCAACAAGAAACCAGAATGGCTACCACTCAAAGCAGACCAGAATTATGACACTTAAGGGTTGCTACATGTGCTTAAAGGTTGGTATAGACAGATCTTCCAGACTCACAGCCCCACGGCATGCGATGGCCCTGATGGATCCGACAAAAAGACGTGCCAGCACTCTCACTGCGACCATACCCCGTGGGTTCCGTCGCATCACTTGGAGGCTGGCATCCCATCTCATTTTAAGTTTCATCACTCTTCCCGTTTCGTGTTGTGAAGGCTTACATGTGTTTCAGGAGCAGACAGAACGAGGTTCGCTATTCAGAACGGCAGCGAGTCCCCTGCTATCTTCACTCAGAGAACCCAAGACTCCTTAATTAAGGAATGTACCTTAACTCATACTATTAACGCCCCTATAATTTAAGGCATATTCCGTAATTAAGGGGTATTGGGTTCTCTGGGCACAGGGAATACCGGCATGTCAGACCCCACTGCTACCTTCCTAGCAGAGCTTTTCCTGCAGCCATGCGCTCACACAATTAGCCCCAAGCCCTCAACTCCTGAACTCCAAGTCCCAAACCCTATCCTAAATGCGAGCTCTGAAAAAAAAGGTTTAGGGTTCAATATAGCGGCCTTGATGATTAAAATAGGGTTTGGGGTCTGGTATACTATAACTGTAATAAGGAACCCCCTAAAACCCTATTCTAAGTATTAAGGCCCCTACATTACTTGAAGGATCATGGGACTTAGTAAGTAGGGTTATAAGTTCCTTAATTGGGGTTATAAGTAATTATAAGTATAGTTACACTAATTATAACCCTAGTTTACTAAGTCCCATGATCCTTTAAGTAAACCCTAAACCCTAAACCCTATAGCTACTAAGTCCCATGATCCTTTAAGTAGGGTCTTTGATTTTGAGACGCTGAAAGCTGATAGGCTTTCCCACGGTTTAGGGTTTAGGGTTTAGGGTTTAGGATTTAGTGTTTAGGGAGGGTTTAGGGCCAAGTTTGAAAGCTTCGGGGCTAAGTAGGTAACCTTTAACCTTTTGGGGCTTATCGAACCCTACCATAAATCTAAAGGTCAACCTTTTTTGGGCCAGGGTACTCAGCCTTTAAGAAAGTGTTCTATGGTCTAGGGAAGCAAACAGCCGCACACCCTTAGTTCGTACGGTTTTACTTCGGGGGCTTTAGGTTTGGACCCGAAACCCTAAAGCCCCAAACCCGA